ATGTTACTGTTTTATTATTGTATTACATAGATCAAGTATGCCTAATTACACGTAGTGATATGAAATCATGATTCTAGAATCATGCTAATGGTAATTACAATAATTGCTATAATAAAGCAAGAATGATATGCGGTAAATGTATTGATATGTGACTGATATAATTAAGGATCACCATATCATAGAAATTAAGTTATAATCCTTAATAATCAATTATGAGATTCTGACTTTTCTCTAACTCCCCTCCTCAAACAAGTGGTGACACAATCACTCCAAGTTTGTCTCTCAACATGTTAAACCTTGTGTGAGTGAGAGGTTTGGTCAAGCAATCAGCAATTTGGTCAGCAGTAGGAACATAAGCCGCAATGACTTCATTTTGTAAGACTTGATCACGTATGTAGTGGACATATATCTCAATGTGTTTGGAACGAGTGTGCATAACTGGATTGGATGCAAGTGACTTAGCACTTAAGTTGTCACACCATAGGAATGGCTTTCTAGGCATTGGTAACCTTAGTTTTTCCAGTAGTGATCTAACCCATGCTACTTCAGCTGTAAGATCATCCAAGGCCCTGTATTCTGATTTCGTGCTCGATCGTGACACTACTTTTTGTTTTCTTGAGGTCCAAGAAACTAGTGTTTCACCAAGAAATACACATTGTACTGCCATGAATTTTCTATCATCAATACTAGTTGTCCAATATGCATCAGAAAAACCTATTATGTCAATGTCATTAGAAGGTTTTATGTGCAAACATAGATCTATTGTGCCTTGGAGATATCTCAATATTCTTTTTATCCCTTGCCAGTGATCCATGGTAGGTGAACTCATGTATTGACTTAGTTTATTGACAGAAATGCAATATCAGGTCTTGTGTTAGTCAGTTATTGCAGTGGACCTATTGCTTGTCTGTACAAAGTAGGATTAGGCATTGGTTCCCCCTCAACAGTGAATTGTCTACCGGCTACCATTGGTGTTGGACAAGTTGATGCTTTCTCCATGTTGAACTTCCTAAGCATATCCCTTATGTACTTTGTTTGCTTTAGATACATTCCACTATCATTTATGTGAACTTCAATACCTAGAAAATAATGTATATGCCCTAGATCTTTCAGTGAGAAGGCAACATTAAATTGATTGATGAATGTATCTAAGAGCTTGTTGTTGCTACGTGTTACTATTATGTCATCAACATAAATAAGGAGAAATGTGATATGGTTTGTACCTCTAAGAGTAAAATGGGAGGAGTCACTTTTAGTGTTTTGAAACCCATATTTTAGTATAGTGTTTCTTAGGCTGTCAAACCATGCTCTTGGAGCCTGCTTTAGTCTATAGATGACTTTGGGAAATTTTCATATGTGATTAGGTTTGGTTGAGTCTATGTATCCCTCAGGTTGATACATAAACATTGTTTCTTTGAGACCTCCATTTAAGAATGTATTATTTATCTCCAATTTCCTAACTTCCCAATTGAGATGTACAACAATAGACATGATAATTCTTACTGAGCTGGATTTGACCACAGAGCTGAATGTTTCATCAAAGTCTAGGCCTTATGTTTTCTGAATTCCTTTTGCAACCAATCTTACTTTCCTCCTTTCAATTGATCCATCTTCTTTGTACTTAGTCTTGAAGATCCATTTTTAGTCTATGGTGTTTTCTTGACCCTAAAATGGAACTAATGTCCAAGTCTGATTGGACATTAGGGCCTTGAATTTTGCATCCATATCTACTCTCCATTTTGGTTTGATTAGCGGCTCTTTGACATTTTCTAGTTCTTTATCATCTCTGCATGCCTCTTCCAATCCTATGTAGGGATGCTTAGGCTTGTAAATCCTATATTTGCTTCTGGTGTGCATCCAATGAGTGTTTGTGTTGTCTTGATGAGTTTGTTGGTTAATCTCAGGTGCAGTTTGTTGTTGCTCTCCATTGGTTCTACTGAGATTGAATCATCGTCTTCGCTTTCTCTTGATGTGTTGCTATCTGCATTGGCAAAAGGACTTTCACCTATATCACTGTCAACTGGACTTTCGATTGAATTTTCTTCATGTTAGTTTTCACAAAGCTGTTGGGTTCAGTTGTGTTGTTTGTAATGGTACCTGCGGAGCAATTAGGCAACATATAGATGTATTTTCAGTCAGTCTCTTTAACAGATTTTTTGTGTCAATAAAACCACCATGGAAGGGAAAGTGATTCTCATTGAAGATCACATGTCTTGAGACAAAAATTCTCCCATGAGAGTTGATGCACTTGTAGCCTTTGTGGGAGTTGTTCTAACCGATGAACACACACCTAGTTGTATGGATTTGAAGCTTGTGTTGATTGTATGGTTTAAGGCAAGGGTAACAGGCACAACCAAATGGTTTCAAGTCCTCATCATTGGGTTCTTTCTTGAAAGTTAAGGAGTATGGATTGTTATTTAGATTTATTGATGATGGAAATCTATTCACTAGGTAGACAACAGTGGAGAAGGCTTCCCATCACTAATGTAGGGGCATTTTGGCCTGTTCTAGAAGTGTTAGTCCTAATGCAGAAATATGTCTATGCTTTCTTTCAGCCCTGCCATTTTTTTGAGAGGTGTAGGGACAAGACATTCTGCATAGAATTCCTGATTTCTTGGCAATTTTTTGAACCGGTTTGTATTCATCACCTCCATCACATTGGATGATTTTTATTTTCTTGTTAAATTGATTTTCAACCATAGCTTTGAACTGGCTGAAGGCATAAATTGTTTCTGATTTTTGTTTCAAGGGAAAAATCCATGTGAATCTACTAAAATCATCAATTAAATGAACATAATATTTAAACCTAGATGGGGATAGAATTGGAGCAGGACCCCATACATCGGTATAAATTAAATCTAAAATTTCACTAGCATGTGAGGAAGAAGATTTGAAAGGTAACAAGTATAATTTGCCAAATTGACAAGCTTCACAAAATATAAAATTGTCACTAGATGATATCTTCACATTGCAGTCCTTCAACACCTTTTCCAAAACTTTATTATTTGGATATCCAAGCTTTTTATGCCAGTTTTCCTTAACACGCATGTAGATACACGAGTCTTTATTGATTTGAGGGCTGACATCAGAAAGTTGGTATAAGCCATTTTTAAGTTTCCCCTTTAAAAGTGTCTTCCATGTTAGCTTGTCCTTCACAAAACAATAATTTGCATCAAATTCAACAAGTATATTGTTGTCGGCAGTTAACTTAGATATACTCAATAAATGTTTGGTGATTTCTGGCACATTCAACACATCATACAGGTTGAGGTTACTCAATTTGGTTGAACCTGAGGCAATTATTTTCAATTTATTACCATTACCAACTAACAAAGAATTCTTACCATTGCTTTCAGTGAGGTCTTGGATTTTTCCAGTTTGGTGTGTTACGTGATTGCTAGCTCTATTGTCAAAATACCAGTCATAGTCCTGACCATGATATGGCGAGGCTATGAAGGCACTGTGTGTTCCTTGATTCTCACCCTCAGCATAGTTTTTCTCCTATATATGAGTTATCAAAATGATAATAAATTATACTATAGTAAGACTGATTCTGCCGCGTACCTGACATGTTGGTTTTGACATCCTTCCTCTTCCTCTTCCACCTCTCATGCCTCTGGAGCTAGATCCTCTCCAATTTCCTCGTGATCCAAATTTGTTGCCTCCCTTCTCACTAATAACAATGTTTACAGATGCATTCAAGTTGATATTGCTGAAGTTGTTGATCTGATCCAATCTACTTTCAAAGTCTAGTAATTGGGCTTGCAAGTCAACCCAACTTAAGTTGATCTGGTCAAATAGTTTGACTATCACTTGATTGTATTTAGAATCCAACCCATTCAATGTCTGAATCATTAGGTCAGAACTGGAAATGGGTGATCCTGCCAGTTTTAATTTGTCAGCAAAATTCTTCATCTTAGCAAAGTATTGCTCCAACTTCATCTCTCCTTTGCGTGTGTTGTGAAATTCTGACTTCAGGTAAATGATGATTGACCTAGTGTGTGCACCTGCAAGGCTTTGAGCTTCATCCCAAAGTTTCTTGGAGGTTTCGCAATGTAGCAGTTGAGTTGTAATATCAACTGCCATATAACTTATCGGCCATCCTAAGAGGGCTTGATCAAGAGCTTTCCAATCCTCATAGTTAGGATTGATTTTCTTGGTTGAGTCAGCTGAGGTGACAAATTGTTCTGGACATTCTTTTGTCTCTAGCATATAGCCATTGAGTTTGCAGCCTCTAATCAGTGGTAAGACCAATGATTTCCATAGTGGATAGTTGTCTCTGTCCAACTTGATAGAAACTGTTTGAGGAATGTCATTTTTCTGGTTTGAGTTTGCAACGGATGATATGATTGGTTTGGCTGGATCGAGAGCCTTCAAGCTTAAGCACTCTGATACCAAGAAAGAAAATGTTATTGTTTTGTTATTGTTAAATACATATAGTGATATGAAATCATGATCCTAGAATCATGCTAATGGTAATTACAATAATTGCTATAATAAAGCAAGAATGATATGCCGTAAATGTATTAATATGTGATTATTATAATTAAGGATCACCATATCATAAAAATTAAGTTATAATCCTTAATAATCAATTATATGATTCTGACTTTTCTCTAACTACTAATCTTTGAGACTAAATTATCAGTTCAATATGTTTTCTTTCAAATTCTAACACTTCCACCCACCCCTCTTGTGAGACTCTTTAGATTTAGATTTGATTAAATCGTCTTCAGTTGTCTTTAGTTCGTTTGATTCGTCACTCAACTAACCTACACTTACCCTTAATTCAACTAACATTTTCTGCTAACAAGATTACTTTTAGGTGTAATCTTATGCCAATCTGGCTCTTGATGACAACTAAGCTGACATTGTTTTGCTTGCACAATATCTTAAGGAATCCAAATTCTAAAAGACTTTTAAACCTTATTGAGCCTATAAAGACTAAACTATACACCATCTAAAACTCTTATTTCCTGAAAATCAAGTGAATTCGAATATTAGGAACCATTTTGCGCGATCTCTCTCTTTCTCTTCAATGAATCTTGTTTCTGCAAGATTATATTCCTTCTAAACCTTCTGATAAAAAGATCAGCAACTTCATCAATATCATCCTCAAGTTTAAACTCTTTCCCTGCTTCTTCCTTACAATTCTTCACCCTATCTATCACTGATCCTCCAAAATCCAATCCCTCTGAATCAAAAAGACTGTGAGTCAAATCAGGATACTTATCATCATCATCATCATCTTCATAGTAATCTTCTTGATCTTGTTCATCCAAAACTTGTGTTTCACTTGGATTTTGCAACGCTCCGTAAGTGCGAGCGTTGTTGTTAAAAATAACCATGGCTCGATGATGATCTTCGCAATTGACACCTTCTTCAATTAAGCAATCTTCCTTGGAATGATGATGAGAATGGTTCCCCCAAATTGAATGGAATCTATCTGAAATTGAACTCATGAGGAGCTTTTTGTTCTTCATGAGTGATAATATAATCAAACGAGCTTTGATGGCATTTACTTTTGACTTTAAAACCATAGTTTTTGACTTTGCCATTAATGTTAAACTGGCTATGATTTGCTTCAACAACTTTGCTGTTTTGTTCTTCATGTTGCTCGTTGTGGTAATAATCGGTTATGACTCGAGAGTTTGGAAAATAGGTTATGAAAGTGAACAAGTATTTGGGAAGTAAGCTGAAAAAACAAGTGTGTGAATGTTTAGGTTTAAGAGAAGGTGGTAGATAGATAGTATGAATGTTATTGTACAAGCTTTGTTTGTACAATGGCACGAAAGAGTTCAATGTGTGGACAAGGGTTTATATAGGAGAAGATACAAGTAGGTAATTTAATAGATGATAATGTGTTTCGTGTGAGAGAAACAAGTTCAGAAAAGGAAGAGTGAAGGTTAAGAAAACAAAAGCTAAGTTAAAGTTGGTGATAAAGTAGAGGGCCACATAGGGTCTTTGAGTTATGGTTGTTTAAGTGGTATACGAAGTTTAGAGATTTAAGTGGGTAGAAACTATTACTGTCCAGTGATTTCCCACAGTTGCCTCCTAAGGTGTGTTAAAATAGAATTATTATTTTACTGCTTTTTTCTAAAGACCCTTTTTGTTGTCTAACTCCACAGGTACTAGAAGTAACTGTTTGGCGTGAAGGGTTGGAATACACACAAACATAATCTCGCGGAAAGCCGGTGACAACTTTGAATTGTGTTATGCTTCCTTTCGAAAACCTAGGAACGAAAGCCTACGGATATAAAAGTGCGTTGATCAAATGGAAAGTCCTGAAAATAAGAATGCTACTCGCTCGATCCTTTTCTGCTTGTTGTGTTGAAAAATTGTATCACGAGCTTTTGGTTTGGGAAAAAGACTGACTTGTATCGATTTGTCTAAGAAGATGTGTTCTGTTGCAAGGTATCAACGACGATACAAGTGTTTTGAGAGAGAGTATTATGGACTCACACTCGAGGGAGAGTGTTAGAATAATAATGTAAGTGTGAGTAAGTGGAAAAATAGTTCAAATTCGGATAGAAATGTTGAGACTTAAGAATATATAAGTGATAGAATCCACTCACTTATCACCTTAAAATTTTAGGTAGATAAGTGGTGTGTCTTTCACAAAGATACATAGTCCTCAACTTTATATTAATGCTCATAGTAACTCCCTTCAATATATAGCATATTTTTTAAGAAAAAATTACTTCATTCATGATTTTAAATTGCGGGTGCGAATGCAGTTATGGGTGTTACAATTGCATCCAGTTTTGATTAAATGCAATTCTAAATATGACGTTGAAAATTATTTAATATTAAAAAATTTCATTACATCAAAATTAAATTAAGTTTTGAAATTATGAAATTATGAGTTTTGATAGAAAAACTTGAAAGAAATAAGGGTAAATTATTGGATGAAGTTTTAATGTAGTCAAAGATATGATTTAAAAGTACGGTATAATTATAGTCTGTTGCAGTTGCGGAAACTATCTTACTAATAATAATGTGAATACAATTACACTTGTGGACCGTAATTCAATATTATGAATTCATTAAGATTTCTGAAAGCTAAATGGTAAATAACGAGCCAAAATCCTCTCTATTTTTTATCATCTCCATTTCTTCCATTACCATAGTTTGAAAACATAAATACAATAGTGTGATATTAGATGAGTTTTATAATTTATTATACACTCAAAAATATTTGAAAACTATAATAATGAAGAGAATAAATAAAGGAAAATAGAGAGGAATCTACTTCGTAAATAACACACACCCAATTAATCAGGTGAAATATACAATTGTTATTAGTGTCACCACAAATAGTCTTTGAAATCTTAACACACAACATAAGGTAATAATTGCTCACTCCCCCAAATACATCCTTAGATTATTCACAAAATCACAAAATTACATTCAAATCATGTTTATCAAACATTCACCCAATATATGAAATTCTAAATGCATTTTATGAGTAGTTATAATTTTTATTGGCTACAATTTTTTTAACTTGTATTTTTTAAAACATTTAGCGAAAATATGGTAGATGCATGAAATAAACCGACTTAATAGAATACTAAAAGATTGAAATTACAAAACCAAAAGAACAAAAACTTTGCTTTTGTAGTTTAGACGTTATCATATGGCCCTTTCAATAAATTGACCATGAATTTGGGGGACCTTTGAAGCTTTTGAGGGACTGAAATGGGACATAGAAAAATCAACCTAACCCCCCAGATGGGAATGGAATAGCAACTACTCAATACATTAACTTTATATATTGTTGGAATGAATGACAAAAATAACCATCAACAGTGGACAAGGTGGTACCACTACATTGTATTTGGACTATATTCAATTGTTTTTCTTTTTGTTGTTGAATTTGGAATCTTGATTGCATTGTGTTGTTGAAATCATTTCATATTGGTCCACTTATAGGATTGTTTAAATGTTCTACGCACCTTACTTTACTATGGCAACAGATTTCAAGGCATTAACGTGAAGAAGTTTGAAATTTGCTTGATTTAATATTGAATATGACAATTACTGTATGCTGTTTATTTTAGAAAACTTAGCCCTTAAGGTTGCTCACAACGGCCTTACGATTTCCATTTTCTTCTTCTCTACTTTATAGTGGTTTACTTAATTTGTTGTTTTTCAAGTTAACGGAAGTAAAATACTGACTAACTAACAACATGGTGAAAGGAAGAAAAATATATTGATGACTTTTCGATAAGTGTATCGATAATGTCGAAGTAATAAAAATATTGGTTTATAGAGACCAAATTTTAACCAGACAAATATAGTATAAAGTTATCCAAGAGCACTTGAATATGTGAAATGGATCTCCTCCAGCTTAACCAGAGGTCTTGGGTTTGATCCTTGTGTTGTAAAATCGCAGAACCTTTGAAATAGTGCCCAAAACTCCTTTTTTAAAGCCTTCAAGAAGTGCCAGAACTCGTAAAATCGCAGAACCTTTGAAATAGTACCAAAAACCACTTTGAAAAAAGGGCTCATCGCTGTCAGGAAGTGCGATGCAACTTATCCAAGCTTATCACGCATGCGATGACGCACGATGCCTGCGTGATTATTCCAATGACTGACGCGCGTTTAGTCTGTTTTCAATCAAAATTTCTCCAAGTCTCTATTTGTTTATACTTTATCGGTTTTGCTCCGTTCTTGGGCTATTCTTCATCAAATTAAGTGATTTTTGGTTCGTTTTTCTCTATTTTTTCAACATAATATATGCAATGACAAAGTGTATCACAACCTCAAACTTAATATGTTGCTTGTCCTCGAGTAACTTGCTTGCAATTGAAAATTTCAACAGAAACACAAACTACAATAACAACAATTGAACATCACCATAATTATTTACCTGATCACCATTCTAGCTTCTCACTTCAATCAGACAAAATCAGGAAACCTCCTCAACTTTTAACAAGTATTCAACATGTCTCTCATCTCATTATAATTCGTTCAATTAACAGGGTTCTCTCTCAATCAACTTGTAGATCTGCTTATACTGAGTTTGATCATGTTCTAACAAAATTTATCATAGTAATCAAAACACACACACTTTGTGGACTTCTTCGGATGTAACGTGGCTTAGGTTTAGGTAGGATATTATTGGGAGAGTAAGTTTAAACTTTTGGAGTTAGTTTTCTAGTTCTCCTATCATCATCATACCAACTTTTTTCATTCTAATTGTACTAGAGATTTATGCAATTTTTTTGGGTCTATGTTTTTTTCATTCTTTTTCTCTTTTTTTCAAGAAGATGTTTCAACTTCTTGATTTTTATCAACAAGCCTTTAAATTTTGACCATTATCTCTAGTACCCCAACCCCAAATTTAAACTTTTCTCACTTTCAAGAGCAACCTCAAACTTGTTCTCTTGCCTATGACAGAAAAACTGAAATAATTTTACCTAACTCCAAAGAGAGGGTAGAAAGAATTAATCTTTCAAGTAAATTGACTAACATATATGGTTTTGTAACAGAAACAAAAGGTCAGGCTCAAAGTGGTTAGCAAATGATATTCATAATATATCGGGTTGACTTAAAAGACTTAAAGTTTTAACAAAAAATGTCTCAGTGTGTGTAAATTAAAATAGACAAATTAAATCAGATATAGATCAAACATGATAAAACAGTAAAGTATAGATACACTCAAAGAAAGAATTGGTAAATAATGGAAGTATTTGACTCAAACCTTACTAGCTAAGATATCTGTAGATTGAGTACAAACTTGTTGATTATGTTTCCATCTTTTATTTTTTTTAGTAAGTCATCTTCCTAATGATCAAGCTCTTTTCGAAGGTGCTTTTTAGATCATTTATTCAATGTCACAGTTGCAATTATCTGTAAATCTGAAAGAAATATCATAAGCAAACATGTTTATTAATTTCAACAAACTGAACAAAATGCCAAAAATGGGTACTTATAAGTGGTAACTTCTGCATGGTAGGATAAAATAAAAACTAAATTAAAATTTCAGAAATTAAAAGTTGTTTCATGTTTTTTGTTATTCGATGTCAAAGCTGAAAATTTATTGCATGTCGATCACTGAATTGTGAAAATCACTATTTTTTCTTTCCCATTCTATTCGTATTTGTTCTCTTCTTCTTGCTTGTGCACTACCTTGATTCCTGAAATATTTTTCCATGTATTCAACAGTTTCAAACTGACATCTTAAATTTCTTGCAGGCGTGTTATTTCTTTGTTGATTGTAGAAGTCTTCGAATATTGGTGCAAAATGTGGTGGTTTGGCATACAAGGTGGTTGAAACTTCATTCGGCCAACTTGTTATCCCAACTGCATATGCTTTTATTCTCCTTTGGAATTCACTGGTTTGTTGATTTTCTTCCTATGGTGTTCTCAGAATATCTGGAGTGTTTCCCTCGACATTGTCACCAGCTTCAGATATTTCTCTACACTGGCCTTAGCATGACATTTCCGATATAGAAAAGCTGGAACAAATGGAGTAACAGGGGAGTTTGAAGTTGAACCCTTTTGTATTTTTATCTCTTAGGAGCCATCTGTAAAATATTAGCACACAAACTAGAATTTGCAAGAAATATGCCACGATTTATGAGTGAGAAAATAATTTTCGTAAGCA